CTTTTTTTTTTGGGGTATTTGGCTTCTGTCCGACTGAGGACAATTCTGCCAGTGTCCGGGTTGAAAGATACCCGGTATATTTATCAAGATTCACTCAAACGACGATGATCGGTTGCACCATCCTATGGACAAAGACAAAACACGGGGTTATTTGACTAGCTACTTTGGATGAAAAGCGTAAAGACATGCTGTGCACATAGTAAAAGTTATAACCGTATGTTATTTTGTTCAATATATTTAAATAGAGTAAATAGTAGAGGAGGTTTTAGGGGAGAAAGGATACTATAAAAATTTGTGGGACGAGGGATACAATCTGGAAGAAGATCGTATAAAGAGACGGGATATAATGCACAGTTAAAAAATATATGGTCAAGAGTTCCTTCTTCAAGACCGCACTCACAAAGGGAGTGATCCCTTATCCTGAGCTTAGCAAGAAAAGTAGGTCTGCAGTTATGTCCTAGGCGCAATCGGATGATAGTTGAAGTTGTTCTTTTCCTGGCCTCGCGGAACTCGAAGAACCAAGGTTTCTTGGGTATTACTGGTTGAAGACCAGCATAATATTTGCCTTTTTGTCTGCTAGAAGACGACCAGTAAGTCTTCCAGTTATTATGTAAATCAATCTTAGCCTGAGAGCGTAAGTCTTGAGAAAAACATTTATCATATATAATGGTACCAGAATGTGTCGCCCATTTAGCCCATCTATCCGCTTGTTCGTTCCCGGGAATGCCAGAGTGTCCAGGAACCCAAACAAGAACAATTTGAATGCCAAGATTAGAGCAATTGTAAAGGAGCTCTTTTGTTTTAAGATTGATTGGGTGAACATCTATGCTACGAAAGGGGAATTTTAACAGATCGTCCAGGCAGCTACGAGAGTCTGTAAAAATTACAGATTTGTCTAATTTGTGGGATTCAACATATGAAACTGCCTCAAAAACAGCGATCACCTCACCCGAATATACGGACGCTTTAGAGGGAGATTTAAAAGTTAAGTTAAGTATTAAATGTAGGGATCCAGACGGCAGTACTTCACGTTAAATAAATTTGTAGACCGGAAGTTTCCTGTTTTATTACCGTGATCCTGATCACGGTTGTTAGTGTTACAGCCCTTTCACAGTAGTGATCACAATACCGCTTGGTGGCAGAAATAGGTAAGGTAGGCAGTACTTTCCTGGACGAATTGTTTCACTACTACGAATCTCTACTACTACGATTTCTTTTCTGAACTTGTTCTAGAGACCCGACGTCAAAAAGGCGGGCTCTTGAAGTTACAAGTACAGTTTTTACAAAGATTAATTTTATTTTAAGTATATTATGAAGATAATGCGAAGAAAGAAATAGTGATGAAGAAAGTTACAAAGAGTTCAATCTGAAAATTCTAATAATTACGAATTCAAAGTTTTTCTTCAAAGTGACAATGATGTGTATAAGTGAAAGTAAAAACATAAATATTGACCCCCGCCCAAAGAAGAAGAAAGAAAGCTAAATCAAGAGAACTAATTTGTTTAAAAGAAAGTGATAACATGATGTCATAGAACCACAATGGGAAATATTTAATGAGGATCCTGATAATGAAACGAAGACATGGCTCAAAGGACTTGTATCCAAGCTAGCGATGGGACGAGTTGTATTTTTTTTAACTCGAGTTACTCGAGTAATCGCGAGTCGCGAGTAGAATTCGAACCGACGATTCTCTGAGTTGGGCACGATCGGCCGGCCGACCGCGACTCGAGCGTGCTCCGAAGTTCGCCGAACCGACCGAGTGAGAACGAATAGCCGACGCGCTGTATGAATGAAGTATTCGCCTCGGTGAGAACTGCGCCGAGCTAGCTCGAGTTCACAAAAAGTAGCTCGAGTTGACTCCGTTGTGGGAGTAACTCGAGTTAAATAATTCGACTCGCCCATCGCTCGCGACTCGAGTAGCCACTGGGCTCGGCGGCGCGCGGGGCGGGTATCGAACCGAGTTAGCTCGAGTTCACAAATAAATAACTCGAGTTGACTCGTGGAAGTAACTCGAGTTAACCGAGTTAATTAACTCGACTCGCCTATCGCTAATCCAAGCCAAAACTCTTAATAAAAAAAAGAGACCCAACGTTGTGTTGTTGAAGGCAGAAAAAATGTGTAAGCATGTAAAAAGTTTTAATTTAACTAACCAAATGATCACAAAACAGGAAAAATAATGAGTATTCAACTACTAAGCAAGTAAACAAAAAGAAGTGAAAACACTCCTATCCAAGGAAGGAGTAGGTGTATGCTCTGTTCTATATAAGAAATACGTGGAGTGAATTTTTTAAATTAAGACCATTCCGCAGTAGTAGTAACTGATTAAATTCTCGTTTGTTCGTAATCTTATTATTCCATTTTATCGTTAATAACTTCAGACACAAATGAAGACTTAACCCGGTGACTCGGCTATCATTTTGTATTGTTACTCTCGCTTTTATTATAGGGATTGATTTGTGTAATCACGTTGCAGTAGGAACCGTTCGTCAAACTCTACTCTCAAGATTTAAATTCAGGATTTTTTTTTATAAAAAATTAGTGCGCATGTGACCTCCATCTCATCTGATGGAAAGTGATGATGAGGTCGACGATGTAGCATGCACACCTAAATAATGCCTATTCACTCTCGCCTTGAAAAGGTCCAAGTTATAGCGTTCGGGGAATACGTCTGCAGGCAGGGAATTCCACTCCCTAGCCGCTCGCTATATAAATGTGGAAGCGAAACGCTTCGTGCGAATCCTGGGAATATCCACGACATAGTGGTGGAATCCCAGCTCACGTCTAGTCCCCCGATGATGGAAAGGGGAAGGCGGAATCAAATTATGCAATTCCATCGCACACTCTCCATGATATATCGTGTAGAATATCGATAAGCAGGCAACTTTACGGCAGTGTTCAAGGCTCTGCAGCTTCGTATCTTCTAATTCTGAGTCACCTATAAGCCTTTTGGCACGCTTGTCGGTTGAATCCAAAGTGGCCAGTTGGTATTTAGCAGAGCTATCCCATATGTGACAGCAGTACTCCATACAGGACCGGATCTGTGCTTGGTACAGTTGAAACAACTGTCCCGGTGTAAAGTTGAAGCTTTCAAGGCAATTAAAGCTTGATTAAGGGCGGCTTATAAAAGCTCTGTAGTTTTTGCAGTACCAATTAGTGAAGTAAGACGTAACGTGCGGCTGCCGCGCCACATTTGCGCCACTGCACCGCTTCTAAAAGCGTCTAATTTTAAGGCGCCTTTACATTTGACAGTATAACGTATCTATTTTCTTAAAATTTAAACTCTTGACGTTCCTCCGGTACTTTGCGCGTTATTATTATTATATTTTGTAAATTAGGCATCTTGAACCTATCTCTATGTATTTGTAGCCAATTATAAAAAAATAACCGATCTGACAAGTTCATAGAATTACATCTATTTGCCAAGTTTAATTGAAATCGGTAACCGGAAAGTGCGCGAAACTGTATTCATCCTCGTTTGCCACCCTTTTCATAGAATTACATCTATATGCCAAGTTTTATTGAAATCGGTAACCGGAAAGTGCGTGAAACTGGATTCATCCTAGTTTGCCACCCTTTGAGGTTCAATATTTTCTTCAAATTTAAATGGAACCAATTCTGAGATACTCAATTTTCAACAAAAAAAGAATCATTAAACTCCGTTCACAAAGGCTGAAGTAATCTCGTAGCATACATACAAAAAAAGTCGAATTGAGAAACCTCCTCCTTTTTTAAAGTCAGTTAAAAATGGCTTTTGTTCACAATATGAAAGAATTAGATGAGATCATCCGACTTCGCTAATATCATCCCTATTAGACATATGTAACTAACGATTTTGACATATAAACTTTATCTACATACATTATAAATCCTTAATTCCATGTTCTACGTTATAATTTATAATTTACGTACGTTATAATAATTCATTTTCGTCAAATTCTAAGTTACGTCCATAACTATTATAAAATTTTCGAGACATTCGAAAATTTAAGTAAATATATAACCATATTGATAATAAAAACACTAACTGTTGAAATTACTCTACCATTGGCTGTCTTTACGGTAGACATTATTAAGTTACAATGAAATCAAGACAACCCTCATTGACTTACGGGAAACAATAGAAAGTCTTACAGCTTTAACAAGAGAACGCAACTCTGTAAAAGTGTATAGCTGAAATATTAATATAATCTGATACTCGAGATGAAGATCGACCGCGATGTTCTAGGGGTAACAAATGCGATTTTTGCGTGATCTCTGTCGGTTGCGTGTAGCTTGATCGTTTTGCCCAGTTCGCCCTACGAAATTTCAGTTCCACATGACTGAGTTGGAAAGCAATAGGTCGAAAACATTTTGGAGCACAAATTTCAGCTAAATCCGAGAAATATAATTTTTAATTCCGATTATGATAATTTCATGCCTCGGCCTGCTTCAGCTAGTATTAATATTATGATAGCAGGTGTTTTTAATGTGTGGTAATTAATCTGTTTTCATATGGTTTGTACCTTATACATCTTATACATCTATCTATAAATTTTTGGAACGTATTAACTAAGCAGAAAGAATCCACCTAAGATCCTGTATTAAGTGTTATGAAACACTGTTGGTAGTTCCTTATAAAGAAAGCATAGTGTACAAAACTTGAGTCGGCAGTGCCATTCTGCGGTGACCGGGATATTTCGCGCGCCTTCGCGCCGCGTCAGACGCCACGACTCTCGCGACACCGGATGACCTATTAATCCGCGTGGTGGTCGGCGCGGCGACTCGATCGTTAGCAACCTATAAAACTGCATCCGAAGACTAGGGCAGTGCAATGATTGCATCAAGTTTAACCGGGCCCGATCGATGTGAGGGTATTTACCTCGCCGGGTGAAAATAATCCGGGTACCGGTGATGTCAGAGGGTGTTTTGGAGTGCGCGTGCGCGGCAAATCGGCGAGTAACCGGGCGGCAGTCGGTCGCCGGCCCGCGGAGAGCCGGGCGCGCGTTGCGAGTTATGGCGCCCCGCGGCGGCCGGTGAGGCGCCGGCCCCGCCGACCGCCTCGGGTCGACGGGCCAGCCAGGCCGGGACGCACGGCCAACATGTCCTTGCTCAGCGTTACAGGTAGTGTTGTGTTTCTACAGTGATAATATTATGCTAAACGCGCCAACAGCCTTTGTGTTCCCTTTACAGTTACGCAGCAATATGTGGTCGTTATGGACGCGTATTAAAAGCTAGCAAATATTTATGGTGTTTAAGTCAAGCGTATAACCAGGCTGCGGTATTGGTAAGACGATGCACACGTTTTCTGACATGGACACCCAGAGAAAAACTTAACTTCACTCAACTACATTACGAAATTTATGTTTGGTTATATTATTACTCATAACTGGTTACGTCCAATCGAATATTTGCGAGCGAAAGTTTATATCAGGTGCATGCGTCAGGCGGTATCAGATAATATTTAGTTTGTCGATTTTGATAACGAGGATTAGGTTATGTTGAAAAGGGTAGGGGAACATCTCTAGTTTTATGGTAAGATGAATAAAGGTCAAAGTAACAAGACAATTGGTTTAACATTATAGTCGAACGAGATTTCTTGAACGTCACGTAACTTTTGAGACTTAACGTGTACACGGTGCGTTTCTGTTTGGGAATTTAAATACGTACGTCTGTCCCTTTATCTTGTTTATTCTGTTTGTGAATTTACTTACCTTATGTTTATACAGAAACATTGCGAAGGTTTTGGTAGAAAAAAAGATAGGGAAGAAAACTTTCATTGAGTTGAAAACCTAATTAAACAACGTAATCCAAACATCCGTTGACCAGAAAAGCAAGCCGGCGTCAAAGTACGTTGCAACAATCACAACACCGTCCATACTAACTTTAATATAAACCATTCAGGCTATGAACGGCGTTAAATCGGCCACAGCATAAAGCGCATCGCCCACAGGTACTAATAGAAGCATAAATATGTCTATAGAGTACAGGCTTCTGCTCCATTTAGTGCAGATATAGGTCGGTTGAATTAAGCTACGGAACGTTTGAAGGAACATGCAGAATCTTGTACACTATTTAACTTTACCTGCAGCTGAAATCCTTATTCTAGTTAGTTAGTAGCAGATATAACATATTGAATGTATTTTAGACGTTACTTCTATTTTTTGACCTCCTTGATACACAGTTCTTAAGTATTTTATGATAGGTAAATATGTTATTAACGAAATGTTTACATACATACATGAATAAAAATATACATGTGTATTATTCTATTCAGTAAGTCAATATTTTAAATGCAAAAATGCATATAGGTTTGATGTACACCTACTACTATAGTTGTCTATAGCTTTGATATATACATTAAAAATGAAAAAGTTAAAACCGCGTATATTCCGAAATTACTAGATAATCACATTTTACAAGTAGGGTAAAGTAGCCTAGTTTCTATAATTGGCACTTTATAAGGCAAAAACATTGATAAAAATAATGGATAGATAGATAACAAACCTTATTGCTCACACACAAGAACATAAATAGTACATAAATAACTTAAAAGTAACGTGGGCAAAGGCAGCCTTATTGCTAAGAGCAATCTCTTCTAGACAGCCTACGAGATAGAGGCAAGCTAATCAGAGCGGGAGACATGGCGTAGGTAACGGCAAAATTTGAAAATTTTGAATGTCGTGTGCGAATAATTTCTAAACGAGAAAGTACCATACCTACCTAGTTGCATTAACAAAATAATTAAATATAGGATGAAGTAATTTAGCGTTGGTCGTGTTTTATAGATATTTAGTAGAATTAGCTAAAGTAAGACAGAATGTGTGTCAAGAATAGAATTTAAACTATTCAGGTATTTTATTAATTGGATGGTTTTTGTTCAATCTTTATTTAAATCTATGATTGCAAATTTTTCAAAGCGTCGTCGTCTGAATTTCAAACCATTTCTCTATAATTGTTATTCGTTTTCATGTCGTTCACCCCACATTTACGGTTCCAGAAACTTAAAAATGTCCGCTTTGCGATAATCCTAGATATTTATTTAGAAGCTTTCGTAATCAATATACGCGTTTTCTCTAAGGAGAGGGTTTTATGTTATTTTCATAGTAACGTTGACTCAATGTGGGTTCTTCACACGTTTTCCAAGGGCTGTGAACCTTCTTCATCACGATATTTTTCTTCACGGTTAGCGAGAGGTACTGCCAGTAAACATTCTTAAATGTAATTCATAATAAAAATCGTAGATACCTGCTGTTAGAAAAATTCGAACCATGGACTTTATGCTAATTATTTCTAAATAAACTATCTTTATCTTATGAACTGAGTAAACGCGTTTTATATTTTAGTTACATAACTTGAAAGATATCATTATATAGGGACTGTAGTGTAGACGTAAGTTGAATAGCCGGCAACGAAAGTTGTAGTTCATTTGCCGACTTCTACGAACTGCAATTCCACGTGCAAACAATAAACAACCTTTCGGATTCAAATTTAAAGTTAAATTTAGTTTGTTTGATAGGTTTTAGTTTTAGCCCAAGTTACTACCACCACATGTTTAATCCTGTTCAATGTGGCTAGGTTGTTAAGTGCAAATGATGTTGACCTGACATCTTATTGTTCGCTCAAACTTCATTGAACCATATTTAATGTGTGTCTAAATACCAACTGGCCAGTTCAGTTGAAGAGCGTTCCAAGAGGCTTAGAGTTGACTCGAATTTAGAGAGGCGAAACTCAAAAGCTTTGACACTGGCGTCATAAAGTTGCCCGCCTATTGGTATTCTACAGAGACTGAGCGATGGAATTGCACAATTTAATTCCGCCTTCACCTTTCCATCATCGGGGGACTAGACGTAGGCTGGGGTCCTACCTATTCGCACGAAGAGTTACGCATTCACATTTAAGGCGAGAATGAATAGGCATTTTTTAGGTGTGCATACTCCACCGACCTCATCGTCACTTTCCATCAGGCGCCCTTATTTTATCACAAAAAAAACTTACGAATTTTGTCTATGTGCTCGTTGCGGATCTTTGCAGACCCTTGGAAAACTTGTAAAGTCTCCAACCCGCTTTAGGACACAAAACACGTGGGACATAAAATGGTTTGACGGCGATGATATTTTCTTGGGTAGTGCCCCGGATTTCATTTCAGCGCCAGTTTACTGCCCCGAATTATTTTACATTGTTATAAAGAAGGCTCTTCAATAATAAAATAAATAGGACTGTATTACTTAAATCCTCACACTCTCATACGGGTATATAGTATAGAAAATCGTATGACGTACTTGTACACTATGGGCTATTCTGATTTCTATCACTGATATGTTGATGAAAAGGACAAAGCCTCAGGGTAATGCTGTTTTTCACTCTCAGCCTTGTGATCTTAATAGAAAATAGTTACAGTTGTAATGTAATACGTTACAATATAATTTTGAATATAATGAACAAGTGATAATTTTGACTACTACACTATCGCATGAGGTTAGTCCTGTAATGATAGTTGCTAGCTTATGTATGTGAAATAAATAAATTAATAAATTTCTTGCTCGTTCTTCTCAGGGAAATCTGTCTTACGAATGAGTAGTGGAGTTTTTGTTTATGATACTAAGTGGCGGAACGAACAAGTGGTACGCCCAGTGCTAAGCGACACGTCTGTCTGTATAAGTATGAAATAAATAAAATGTATTATTCTTATTATCTCAAAGTCTTACGCGCTAAGAGAAATTTGTAGAATTACCAGTCGTAATTTACTAAGAAAACTTCACGTGACACTGGGAAAAATATATTACTACAAAGTTTTTAAGAATCCAGTCTCACTCGAGTTCTTGAGCAAAAAACGCGAGTTGAAACTTGGTTTAAATTTTAACTTAACTGTACTTTATCTCGTGTTTTCTACTATTTGGTAGTTGTACAAAAGGCCACTTCGGAACGAAGCTACGAGTATATAACCAAGAAGTAATTAATTAAGTAATATACTAAATATGCTATACTATGTTTCTGCCATTTCCATGCCATTCAAGGGTAAGTATGTATTGCGTTTTGATATGGAGCTGGACTATTTTTTTAACCGATTTCAAAAAAACGAGGTTTTTTAAAATTTTTTTTATATGTATGTTACTCGATAACCCCAGTATTGGTGAAACGATTTTGATGATTCTTTTTGTTGGAAAGAGGATGCCTCGGTATTGGTCCCATTTAAATTTGAAGAAAATATTCCATCTCATTAATCTCTAATCCGGTTTCGCGCACTTTCCGGTAACCGGTAGATGTAATTCTACGAACTGTTGAGTTCTTTTTTATTAGTATTCTGTAATAATTCAGAAAAAATTACAACGATAGCCATTTTAACTGCCTCTGTGGCCGAACGGTTATCATGCCGGAATAATAAAAATAAAACTAGGCAGGAGATTATGCGAGGCGTGGTGAAGATATGTAGACTAAAGCGATAACCGAATGGTGGCCAAGAAATTGTTATAGAAACATGAGACGTCCTGTAGCGACGTGGGTGGGCTCTAAGGTGCTGGTGAAATTACAGATACAAGGTTCGATTCCCGGGCCAGGAGAAATATTTGTAGGCCTACATTATTTCTCTCGTGAGTTTGGGTGTAATTTGTGGTTGTCTATGTGTGTGTCCATGGCACCCGCGACACAGGGTTTCCCTAGTGCGGCGCTATGTTGAGTCTGTGCGTTAAAAAAAACATTTAGTGTTTAAAATATGAATAACTCTTCTTCCCTGTTGTTCTTGTAAAAAATACAGTTAATGACTGCATTTTATTAATTACTTAACACATAAATAAATAGGATTATGGACAATTTATTATCTTCTTTATTTATGTGTTAAATCTACTATTAGATTTTTTCTAATCTACTATTAGAATCTATTATTAGACTATTAGCAGTAGAGTTGGGTGAAAGAGTTCATCCAAGTTTAGTACTGCCACCTTACCTATTTCTGCCACCAAGCAGTAATGTGGGAATTGCTCGGTTCTGGTTTTCAAGAGTAACGGGTAATTTAGGTCCAGGACATGGAAGAATCGGATAACGAACTTAAAATAAAACTAGGCGAGGCGTGGTGAAGATATGTAGACTAAAGCGATAACCGAATGGTGGCCAAGAAATTGTTATAG